ATGTGTATAAGAGACAGTCCCGGTGCTGGGGTCTCGTCCCCTCAGGGCCGCACCGGGCGTCCTGCCCGCTTCGGTCTTAACGGCGCTACAAGTCGTTGTCCTCGCAGCGAGCCTGGAGGGGGCTGAAAGAACCCACGCGTGGGGCTGGCGGCTGGCCTGGGGCCCTCCGGGGTGTCTCTGCCCCGGGCATCCCTGAGGTGAGCTGTTAACCGTGTACCTCCACTCTGCGCACACAGAGCGTTTGGTCGTTGAGTATCAAAGAATTTGAAAGCTGGGACAAGATTTTGTCATTTATAATTACCTACGAAATGTGCCAGAGAAACAGGGGAGAAGGTACTACTCAAAAGAATCTCCCTTCGTCTGTTGTTTCCATTCAAAACTCTGTGTCGTAAGAAAAGTACCACCAACTTCATTTTCAGATAATATTTAACCTAAACAATTTTCAAGCATTCTGTATTACAAAACAGAAAATGATACAATTAATGGAAGAAGTCGAAATGCTGGCATCACTTTTGTTTCCACATTAATACATAAAAATGGACAACACATTAAATAAACATTTTGTTATTAACAATTAGAAATATTAACACCAAAAATCATGTATAAATTAGGAAATAAATGTACAAACTATTTCCAAAGTGCTCTTTCAAATACATTATATACACAACATTCAAGAAGTTCTTAATGTAAGACATTTCAGATTGACGTAATGTTGCTTTTTCGTTTTAAGTGTTGTTCATATTCTCTCAAAAGTATTTCAGCACTTTCAAAAACCACATAAGAGGTGTACTTCCAAGCTGGCAAAGAGCAATATTGCATTCTTCTGGCTACCTGTAGTATTAATATATTGTAAAGAAAACAATCTTACTTCCTTTCTGTTCCTTGCTATTTGAGAGTACTTATTTGTATGAAAACACCAGCAGGAAAGATAAAAGAAATGAGGACTGACTAAAAAAATGTCTTCTATTTTATCAGTAATTAAAATTATTAATGTAGCAAGGGCAGTGCTTGGACAACATTTAATAGTAAACTCTTTAGTTGTCCAGTTAAAGACTTTCCTCTACAGGAAAAAAAAAAAAGGTAATGAATTGAGAGATCTTTTATTTCCTTTGTGGTCTTGTTTTTTCAAAATATAAAGTACTAGAACTCAAAATCCCATAAATACACCAGTTCAGACAAAGGAGGAAATCCTACAGAGGGTGTATTTACTCTAGATTGTAAATTTGCAGTTAATCTTGTATTAAAAAATGCTCATGGAGTATAGTCATCCAGCCTTTTGCCTCAGAGAAGTTCAGACATGGTACTTCATTCAGCACTTACATAAGCACTTTATAAGTGCTTTTTTTTCAACACTTTATAAGAACATATAAAACTGAGTAGAAGTGACTTACATTGTTCATACTGGCTTTTACATACCACTAGCTTTTATTTCTAAATTCTCCCTCTATAGGCATTCTCTCACTGGTTGACCCCATTAATAGTTCCCTTCTCTATATGCATAATATTGTTTCACAATTAAAGCTGAATTTGGTTGCTTATCTGCAATAAAGATGGATTTTTTTTTTTCTTCTGAACTATTTCTGTCAAGCTACAAGAGAAAAATAAAAGTGATGGTGAGCTGTAAGAACAATAGACCAAAACATCTGACAATATTTACGGTTACAATGCTGGAAAATCTGAGCAAGGCCAACAGAAGAATCGGAAATAAAGAAGGATGCCGGCCACCTGCTTGTGAAATTTGGCATGAAAATGTATATGTGAGTTATAAAATTTGGAGTAGTGTATTTAAGACTGGAGTTTTGCCAGATGTTTTTTCTCAGCTAAGCACAATATGAAGCAATATTGACTTCTAGTAGGCTGACACTGCAGACCTCAGAGCTCCCTCCTATTTTTCTTTCCACGACAGAAATACCTTCGTTTACATGGGTATATAAAAGGTGCCTCTAGTGATTAACGTTTCCATGAATATAGGTTTTGATCCTCTTTCCGTACCTTTTACAACAGAAATGTGCACTTATGCAGATTACTGAATTACAATACTTGGGTAGGTAGGTATTACAGAAGTTTCAGTTCATTTTATTTTTATCATATAGCATAGAACTGTCTTCACATAAGGAATGTATCCATCCCCTTATTCTTAAGAAGTAAAGAGCCATGGATTTCAGAGGCTGGCAGGTGATCTTCAATGCATTCAGTTAAAAAAAGATCAATAACCTACCACAGGATACCTCTCTGGACTGAGACATGACTGAATGGCTTTGTATTGAGCCAGACTGCAGAATAACCTGGCTGTTTTCCAGAACGGGGCACAACTGCGATCAAATGATCCTAAAGCTATTTAGAAACATCAAGAATGGGGCGAGGGGGGGTAAATGAAAAACTTCTGCATTGTATCAACATACAGTACTATACACAGCACCAAATATCAAACCATTAAAGCATTGTCTTGTTACCAGTAGTGCACTGCTTCATATCCAGCATGAAATGAACACTGTTCACATACAGACGCTGCTTTGTGCTAAGGGGTAACCAACATATTACAATTAATCAAAACTGCCTGTACATCCAGTTCAAAAGATGGAGATACTATTGAAATGAATCGGACACAGGATCGATTTTCTTTTATTGCTGGTAATTTCCATATTGTCCCTATAAAAAAGAGAAATAAAAATGTTGGAGAATAATATATCAGAGGTTCACAAACAGTAAGTTAGACAATTTCTTTTGCTCTATGAACTTTGAAAGACCCACAGAAGTGTCAGCAGTATGCCTGCACCAAATTATCAGACAGATTTATATGCGGAGCTAACAGCTAAATCTGCTTTGTCATAGCAAGAGATTTAGACAATTTACCTGCTCATAGCCGTAAGGCCTCTGTTGCTGAGCGGATGGGCCTGTCTGAGAAGCTCTGTAACTTCCATATTGCTGCCCCTGCCCCTGTTGGTAGCTGGAATACTGTGAAGAGGCTCCTTGTGCAGGACCTGAGAAGACAGTGAAATCCCTTACTAAGGCTTAATTTGCTAGGGGGAGTTCTTATGGCTAACATAATGTAAAACATGATGGTAACAAAGTAAGCTCTGTGAGTATGAACTCTGAGTAAATTTTGCTAGACCTCCCCTCTAGCTTTATACCAGAAAGTGTTAATACTAATAATGATCTAGTTGCAGCAGCATAAACGTCAGGTTTTTAACTTTGCTTTGATATGCTTTTAAGAGATCTGCCTCTCTGGAATGTGTATTGGCACAGCTCAATTACTATCTATATGCAAGCTACCTGGCCTTTATTTTAGTAACAACTGCACGTTTAACTTCCTATTTAATCTGGCTGTGCCACTGTAAACACTGCTGACCAGGCAGAACCTAAGAAATCTCTTGCACGTAGAGATACTTTTAAAAACCATGTAAATTAAACACACAACTGCATGGGAATATTGACTTCTTTTTATTTGGGACTGTATATTCTGTGTATAGACTGCTATGTGCACTTTTTAGCATTGGTGGATTTTTATGAAGAAGAACCTTTAAAAGAGCAGGCCAGATTTTAACATTGCAAACTGAATTTTGGATTTAATTTCACAGAATATGTCTGGTTTGAGTAGTCTAAATTATCTACTTGTACTGCAGAGTTAAGTGTTAATTTAATTCACTTTTTAGGCATGTAGGTTCTATTTCACGAGATCCTACATTTCTAAAATGGATTGATTTGCTGTTTATATTAAACTCAGATTCCTTTTATGGCAGCAGGGAGGTGTGCCACTGGTGACCTGAACGGTTCAAAAGCCCTGCGCCAGTGTTACCTCCATGTTCAAAGCACTTCCACTTTTTTCCTTTTGCCGCCGTCCCTCACCAAGGAATAAACCCCTATGATGCTGCAAGAAATCTAGGTGAGGGCGTAGTGATTCTCTGGACCTCTGGACTGTTGATGTTATTTTTTTCATGTCAGTTATTAACTGTGTAGAAGGCCTGAGAATCCTGGCAGTCACCTCCTGCCAACACTTACCAAGAAGTCAACATGAAGCAAAAGTGTATTTTCTAACTTTCAAAAGAGAGAGGGCTGCGGGATGTTAACAGTATGGAATGCAGTGCCATACTAATGTCTGTTTCCTCCCAGAATCCCTTTCCGTGCTAAGCTCTTTGGCTAATTTTGGCATGTGGATGTCCAAGGTTAATCAAGGAAGTAATTTACAGCATATTTTAGCTTAGGAATGGAGGCATCGGACAAAATATTGCAAATGCTTGACTGGTCAGTAACAGTTTTCTTACCATATCCTTGCTGTTGTCCTGGGTAACTTTGTTGATTTGGGTATTGCTGCTGGGAATATGTCTGCTGTTGTGCAGCTCCCTGTTGGTATCCTGCCTGCTGCTGGCTGTACTGAGAATTTCCTAGAGGGAAAAATGGAAATAGTTTGGTTATAGATGAGGCAGGTATTTCACTGCACATGTGAATCATAAGGAAAACAAAGGCATAAGGAGCCTTGGTCTGGAACTCATAGACAAGTACTTTTTTCAGAAACAGATGATTGCATTTTGCCAATCAGAATGTTTATTTCTTCAGTGATTTTTAATTCATGTGAACAGGAGGAAATTGTTTATTTATACACATCACTAAGCAAACAAACAAGCAACCTGTTCCCCAAAGGATTTTTTTTTACCCCCTAAGTGTTTCAGGATTAAAGCACAGAGTCACAAAGATAAGGGTGCCAGGGTAAATAGCTGCTTCCTCAAGAAGTCTGCCTGCTGTATTTCCTTCTAGATAATAATGCTCATTCATATATCCCAGAAAGACCACTTATCTAGTTGTTACTGGTATTTTTTGAAATACCTATGATGGAAATTCCATTTGCAGTATCCTGAAACAATAAAATGAACAGAGACTATACAGATGACATTGCTTTTCCTAAATGCCACTTCACTATATCATAATTAATATTTTGCAGTTAATACAG